GGCCCCCTTCAATTGCTTTTTGGACTGTGGCCATCAGCACTTCTTCAAAAACCAAGAAATGCTGTCGGGGGGGGGGGGAGGGGGGAGGGGAAAGGTGCCTTAAAAGCCACAATCAAACCAAACAAATCACAAAATCACCCTAGTCCCTAAATCAGCCAATAAATTATTGCTTTCAGCAATGTGTGAATTTGCAAAATCAGACATGGAACGCACTGGTCTAGGCCCTAGGGCATTCTGTTTCCCTTCCAGAAACAACTTGGTGGTTTCCAATCGTAAATCCCATAAATTCAAGAGTGATTAGCTAGTTTCTGGAAATAAATCCTCCAATACAGAAGTAACTTGGGGTGGTGCAGAGGTGATTCATCTCCCAAACAACAGCTGTTTCATAGCCTGGACATGTTGAATTGCTTTGGGCATGAAAGATTTAGTTCTAAAAACTATGAACTCCCTAGAATGGCATGAGCTGGAGAGGTTGGGCATAGACCAGAGGGGAATCCCAGTATGGTGTCCACTCCTATAACCTCTCAAATGTTCCTTTCCAATCTGAATCATGGTGTATTGAACTTCTACAGTGTAAGTTCAATCAACTGTAGTTGATTCAGTTAACTATAATTAAGCTTAATGTGTTTATTGCATGGAAATCCTTTTCATGATTCACTTGGTGAGAGGAACTCTGATAGCCATAAATATATCTGCGGTAACATATTTATGTTAATATAGATTCTCAAATAAATATGGCTAACTTTCAATAATACCTCAGTAATGAATCAATCAGTAAACACAAGAGATCATAATTAGCACCAATACTCTTAAGATCTTATACCCCATTTTTAAAAGCAATGTTTCTTTGACTGTGTTTTCAGTTTATACAACCATGGTCAACTTGAATGGCAGGTGTAATAGAATTCTCTAGTAATTATAGAGGTATATGTAGCCAAAATATATATTTGTTACATTTATATCCTATCTTTCCTCCAGAAGCTCAAGAGATAGACACAGCACTTTGTGATCCTACTTTTCTTGCAACAACGATGAAGTAGGTTGGGCTGAGTGAACTTAACTGGTTCACAATAGTGAATCTCCATACAGACATATTTACATTGACGAGGACAGATATATTTACATTGACAAAGACCCCAGAGAGATATTTTTGTTAAGATTGTCTTAATGATAGTACCGTGGTGGTCTGGTTCACACGATGCACTGAATCTAAATAGGATTTACAGTGTGCGAAGTCAGCTTCTGCAGTTTGTTTATTCCAATAACAAATCATACCTTAATGTAGAGGTGTCCAACCTTGGCCACTTTAAGACTTGTGGAATTCAACTCCCAGAATTCCCCAGGCAGCATGGTTGCCTAGGGAATTCTGGGAGTTGAAGTCCACAAGTTTTAAAGTGGCCAAGGTTGGCCAACCCTGCCTTAGTGAGACAAATGAACCAAACTACTGAACGCAACAAGGCTCCCACATTTTTTATGTCCAGACCAATACTGTGTCAATGTTTCAGTCAGATCAATAAAGAGTTCATGAAACAGTAAGCAAGCTTTTGAGTTTCCTGTAATACTTCCTTATGCTCGATACGGTATACAAATGAGCGGAAAGGACATTTGAAGAACTGATTAATGGGTAAGATAGAACTGTTTACTCAACAAATAAAATGATCCTTGTTACTGTGACTCCAAGCATTCGTCTCACATTTTGTTAGATGTGTATTTATTGGAATCGATGTTTTTTTTAAAAAAAACCAGCCAGGTACGTAAAGCTATTGTTTTGCATTGAATTTTGGTTTTATGGAAATAAATAGTACTAAAAAGGGCACCCTTTTGGAGCATGCCAACACTTTCCCAAGCTTCTGAATTCAGTATAATGCGAAGAAAAATTTATTCATGCAATGGGACTTCTAGTTTCTCTTCCTCCTTTAAGCACCCACCTCAGACCGGATCCAGACCAATGGGGGACTCTCTGGAACAGATCTGTAGATACAAAGGAATTTTGCCTTGGTACATGCACATATATATTCAAGATATATTCAGCTGTGGTCAGTGATACTTGTTTTTCCTAAATCTCTTTCAGAGGATCAGATACTTTTATTTAGAAATGTCCACTGATTACATTCCAGTGCTCTTCTAAGATGGTACATCAGACCGATTATAATCACAGACAGAATTCATGCCTTATGCTAAACCCTGATGGTTAAACCATGGTTTATTCAATGTCTGAACATACACCTCATGCTATGCCAAAATTGAATAAACATGAGAACTGAGCACAGTGTGTAAATTGTAGGCTGGATGTGGAGTCTCAATCGCCCTTCCATTTAAAGGAAACCCTATAAACCAGGGACTTACCAGTAGGCAAAGCAGAGAGAAGGGTTTAGTGGTTTGAGAAAAAGGGGACAGGACTTCAATAACACAGTTGCTCCCACAATTTTAATTTTTACGACCTCCAGATTTTTGATAGACAAAGATAACTGGAGGGATTGTTAAAAAAAAAACTGTTTTAAGAATTTAAGACCCAAGCCCTTATTTTTCACATTGTCTTTGGAACATGAGTTTCTGCCACACTTTCTTAAACCTGGGATATATCTTTCATTCAATGTGCCCTTCGTGCTTCCTTTGAAGCTGATGTCTATCACTTTGAATAGAGTGTGCTAGCTGTAGCCACCTTTGGTAATTGAACCAGCCGTTTTCTACCTAAAATGGCTCCATCTTTGATCCCTGCTATCATCATCACTGCAGGCTACTAGTTCGGCACTAGCTTGTTATCATACAGTACAAGCCACTAGGGCAGTGTTTCTCAACCTTTGACAATTTTAAGGCATGTGGACTTCAACTCCCAGAATTCCACAGCCAGCACTGCTGGCTGTGGAATTCTGGGAGTTGAAGTCCACATGCCTTAAAATTGTCAGGGTTGAGAAACACTGCACTAGGGAAAGTTTGCTTTGAAGAGAAATGGCTCACCTTTATTCTATGCACACGTTTGAATGCGCCTGGATAGTTACCAAGTGTATTGCACTCTAGATGAATTTGCATTGCAATCCCTGCCATATTTATAAATGTGGATTTTAAAAGAAACAAGAAGGGATTAACTATTTTTTTCCAACCTTCATCAACCTCAGAGTGGGGTGTGTGTGTGGGGGGGGAACGATATCCAAAAGTAAGGCTACAGACTGACATCCAATTCACTTGAATGCAAACATAGTAACCGATTCCAATTATATGATTTCATAAAAGATGGGGAGGGAGACAAGTTGCATCCTACCGCTCTGGCACTCTTAAATTCCCGTACTTGTGAAGTTGCCTTAATTTCCACCCCCTCCCTTGCACCTGTCCCATCTTCAAAATATACGGGTTTGTTTTTTCTCTCCACTACATGCAAACGTAGTTACCTTGGATCAGGAGTCTTCAAACATGGCCCTTTTATGACTTGTGGACTTCAACTCCCAGAATTCCTCAGCCAGGTACGCTGGCTGAGGAATGCTGAGAGTTGAAGTCCACAAGTCATAAAAGGGCCACGTTTGAAGATCCCTGCTTTGGATCTCCTTACGGTTCAAACGCAATTAAACTCTAAAAGTGAAAGGGCTCTTGAAGAACAAAGCCAGGGAAGCACTGTTGGTCGTGTGTGTGTGTGTGTGTGTGTGTGTGTGTGTGTGTGTGTGTGTGTGTGTGTGTGTGTGTTTTTATCCCCTTGGTCAAATGTTTCTAAAGACCATCTGTTCTGTCATAGATGCACCATGTAGCCTCAGTTAAGGAATTACTGCTTTATCTGTTAAGAAGGGGGAAAGGTGGCCAGCCACATGTGGTTCTAAGAACAGTTCTAGAATCCTCCTTCATTGACTTTCCTGGCAGCTGGGAATTCTCTTTGAAAATCACATTGGCTAGGGAATTCTGGTAGTTTTAAAGTTGCCAAGATTGCAAAGCATCATCTAGAAGGTTACAGGTCCACCACTTTTTCATTACAACATGTAATTTTTATTTAGTCAAATCTAATTCAATTCCTAGATACTGAGGCTCTTTCCATGTAATAGGTCAAAGGAGTTTCTGATTGAGTCTAGAGCACAAACTTGTTGCTTACTTTAAGAAATAATGTCTAGGAGCCACCATAGTATGAAATGGCCTACCCCAGGAGTAGGCAACCCAAAACACTCAAAGAGCCACTTGGACCCGTTTCCCACCGAAAACAAAACACCGGGAGCTGCAAAACTCTTTTGATATCTAAAATGAAGATAACATTGCATATATCCTTTTTTACCTTTATTATAGGTGTGTGTGTGTGTGTGTCTGTGTGTGTCTGTGTGTGTGTCTGTGTCTGTCTGTCTGTCTGTCTCAGGGAGGAAGGATTGAAGCTCTGCAGCTGCTCTTGAATCTGTGACTTTAAAGTCATTTGAAGTAAAAGAGAGAAAAAAAGAGGGGGGGGGAGGAAAGGCGGATTTCTGAATTAACAATAATGCAGTGCCGTAGGACTACACCACTGGGAGAAGGCCTACAACTTGTAGCCTTCCCCTTATGGGAGTACACCTCCCCCTGCTGTTTCAGGCTAGCAACAGGCTTCCTTCCCCACCTTGATATTTGTGAAAGATGAATAGTGGAAGGCGTCGAGCTCCAAATACGGCCGCAGTGGTTGCCCTTAGCATGGCCGAAGGTCTCAAAGGGTGGAAACAGAACATCTGCAAGCCCATTTCCTAAGCACGCTTCCTCCATTTAAAGTTGCAAGAAACTAACTCCCCGGGAAGTAAAGCTCACTAAGCGAAGGCACCGAAGGATGAAGTCAAATCCCCTTTTCTGGCAATGGGTAGATGCAAGCGATGCGCTCCACTGGACCTCGCTTCTCTCTCCCCTCACCCACACTCCACCCTAACATCGAAAGCTACATTTATTTTTTTTATTTTTTTTTTTTGGCCAAGCGTGGAAAGGCGGGGTGAGGAAAGACATGTGCGCGTGCGCAAATCGCCTCCGCCCAGCGGCGGAGCGCCTGCGCAGAACATTTTCCTGGGCTGGCGTCCGCACTACATAAGAAGATGCAGGAAGGCGGTGCTAATGAGAACGAGTCTGCAGCCATTGAGGAGAAGGAGGAGGCGGCGGCGGCGGTACTACCACCACCAGCAGCGGCAGCGATAGCGGCAGCAGCAGCAGCACCATCACCACCACCACCACTACTAGCCGAAGCACCACCACCCGAAGCACCACCACTACCTGTAGAAACAGTAGAGGCGGCACCAGGAGCAGCAGCGGCGGTAGCAGCGGAGGCGCCAGAGGCAGAGACAGAGGCGGCGGTAGAGGCGGAGGAAGATAGCGTTACAAGCGAGGAATCCGAGGCTGCCACAATGGTGAAGATCGTAGGAAGCCTGGTAAGGGAGGAGGCTTCATTCATTGACTATAGTAGGCCTCTCGGTGGACGGAGGGGAGGACCCCGTATTGGATAACGCGCAGAGGAGGATCGCTCTGCGCTTCCGGCTTCAGCCGTCCCGGAGGCCGTTCGCGAGAGGTGGCTGCACCCCGGGAGCGCCGCATACTGACCAGTTCTCGTGGCTTCGGGAGGGCAGGCTTTGGGGAAGCCCACCCCGTCTTGATACCCGCCAGATGCGTGGAGGCTACCCTACCTCCAACGCCCCACATAGAATAGATTTGGAAGGGGACCTTAGAGGTCTTCTAGTCCAACCCCTCTGCTCAAGCAATACCATTTCAGACAGGTGGCTATCCAGTCTCGCCTTAAAAACCTTCAGTTGATGAAGTACCCACAACTTCTGGAGGCAGGTTGCTCCACTGGTTAATTGTCCTGGCTGTTAGGAAGTTTCTCCTCAATACCTGGTTGCTTCTCTCCTTGATTAGTTTCCCTCCATTGTTTCTTGTTTTGCCTTCTGGTGCTCTGGAAAATGGTGCTGGGAAATGCTGGAGCCGATGTCCCATGCATCATAACAGGTTGGGCAGGGCGCGTCTCATCCAGCTTCTCTGCCGTTTCCCGAAAATTTGCCCTGGAGGCGCCTTCTGTGGAATCGGCGTCTGGCTGAGCGCCCGCAGGCAAAGGACTGTCCTCTGGCTGGGTTTGAACGAGCTTTGCTTTCCCCGACTCGATTCCCCTTGGGGGCTCGCTTTGGCCTCCTGGTCCGGGCTGCAAATCGGCTGCGGCGGTCGCCGCCAGGCTCTGCGCCTTTGGAGCTCGCGTTCATTTCAGGCTTTTGCGAGAGCGGGCGAGCAGGATAGAGCGGGCAGGCTGGTTTAGCCAGAAACGACTCGCTGTTCTTGGCCTTTCGATGTTTATTTTTCTCAAAAAAAAAAACCAACCACAACCCATGGGATTTTCCTTCCCTCTTTGAAAATGCAGTGCTGTAAACATGTGGGAAGGCCCACCTTAAGTAAATAAGACTTAAACCTAGATAAGGTGTAGGGAGGGCAGCTTTAAATGGGAATTGGGAAATCTTAGAAATTCATATTTCATAGTTGACTTTCAACTATCAGAGCTGCTCTGTGTGTGTGTTGTTATTTTAGTTACCAACGCTGTGCACTGTTAGCTAATTGCCTGATTGAAACCGTCCTTTCTTGCAACAGACTTTTAATCTACCCACAGCTCAGGAAGACAGATAAGGAAATTGCAAGAGAAAAGTCACTTTTTGTAGTCGGAGATGAGTGGAACTCTACTAAGTTATAGAGGGTCTCTTGTATGTGCTTGTTGGTCTCTTGGAGATTTTTTCTTTCTGTCTCTTTATATCTGGTTGGGAACCTTTGGCTGTTCAGAAGTTACTGACCTATAATTCTTGGTACCCTTTTCCATTGGATGGATTTGCTTTGAAGTTCAGTGACTTTCTGTGGGGTGCAGGTTCCTTATCCCTTTTCTTAAAAACATGTACCTCTTTACTTAATATAACCCTGACTTGCAAGATAAGTGGACTCCATTATAAAGGAACTGGATGCACCTTTGGAAGACTTGAAATACTAAGTTAAGGAAATGGGATTAGGTTTTCCTAGAGAAAATCTGTGTGGACATTAAGGGTCCACACCAACTAGATAGCACGTAATTGGGAGTCTGGCTTGTTTGGGCCTAGTTTGTTGTCTCTTGCAAGACTGTAGCCTCTTCCTTGTGGAAGCAAAGAAACCATGTAGGGTGCTGCTAATTGACAAGATTGCTATGTTCAACTCAAGTCATCAGAGGAAGCAGATTATTTTCAGGACTTTACCATCTTGAATAATACTGTATATGTCAGGGGTCTTCAAACTTGGCCCTTTTATGACTTGTGGACTTCAACTCCCACAATTCCTCAGCCAGGCACACTGGCTGAAGAATTCTGGGAGTTGAAGTCCACAGGTCATAAAAGGGCCAAGCTTGAAGACCCCTGGTATATGTATTTCTTTGTCTGCCTTCCTGATAACTATGACATACCTTTGCAAACTAGGAAATCGCTTTTGATAGCATGACTTGAATTTTAACTAGTTGGTGATCTACTTTGTTTATTATAGTCTGGCAACCATGTTGTCTTGTATATTATGATAATACACACCTTATAAGCATAGATGGATTCATGTTCAGTACTATGCCAAAACAAACCAATTTTTTTTGTCTCTACCCCAGTTCTTCCTGTTGCATCTCTGTTCCTATCCCTCTTGCCACTCCGAAATCTTAAAATATAGTAGTGTGGCTAGCTTTGGGGTTTAATTTTATTCACCAGGGGCAAAAAACTTACTATGACCTGTTTTTCCTTTCCCTCTCCCACTGATCTGTGGGATTGTTTGCCCAGCATTTGTGAATGAGTCATATTGTCATGAGAAATTTTTACATGCTGTAAGGGGTAGCTGACTAATGTAGTGTTGAAGGATTAGGGTGTTGGAGTTGAAAGGAAATAGGAGAAGATTAACTTTCCGCAATCTGATTTTCTCATAGGAAAATTTGTTTTACTAATTCAGAGTGTTGTGCTTGCAACACAGTATTGTTGGTGTCAATAATGTTGCTTGCTTTCTTGATTTTGGGCAGGAATTTTTCTAATGCTACTTGGAAATATCCTAGAATCAAACCTGCAAGCATCAGCATTGTGTTCTGCCAGTGCACTAGCCCATGAGTATTGAATTATCTTTTCAAACAGCATGGTCAAGAGCATAAGGTTGAGAGAGGCTGACTAAGACAAATTTTGTTTTGCTCTCTTCAGAAATGATTCTTGTGAAAATATTTTTTTTTGGGGGGGGGGGGTGTACCAGCATTTATAGCTCCATCTGATGGAGAAGGATTAATGAACCAGGTAAACTGGTAAGATCACCTGAGGTGACAGTAGAAGCAGGGTTTTTTTGGCTTGTGGTTTTGCATTAAGCTTTCTGTAATACCTGGTGATTTAGGAATACATGCTAAATATATGGTATCCTACAATATTTAAATGTCAATAAGAATCCAGCCAAAAAAACCAAGATGTGCCATTTTCCTTAGTCTGTTGGTTCATTATCTTGATCTTTAGACTAGTTTTTTTTCCTTCTGAAAAATATTGCTATTTGATTTATTCTCATAACTAATGACCTGTTCTTGGCATCTTGAATAAACTAAAATCTGATGAAATTTGCTGTTATTTGTTATATAGTCAGCTTAAATATATAAAAGCAGCCATTTATATATTTATAGATTATATATTTATATATATATGGCTTTCTCAGAGAAGGCCAATCCTGAGCAAATTTGCACAAAGTAGTATCATATCAAATCATTTTGTTTTATTTGCTAAAACAAGATTTGCAGAAGGCATCCCGTTGGATTAGATTTTCAGTGTCCCTCTATTTTGATGGAGTATTCAAGTTAACCCTTTCTGCTGTGTATTGCATTATTATTATATTCTGTATGTAACATGGAGTGGCATCATTTCTTGTTCTTGTCAGCTTTTCAAATATGTTTGCCATCCAGAGTCTGAAAGATTAGAGTGGGATAAAAGCTGATAGGTCTGTCCTGTTTGTCCATCTATTTATCTTCCCACACCAGATCCTGGCCTCCACAAATATTAAGTGTGCCCCAAGAATCAAATGATTACCTATCTCTGATATTTAGGAATACTAGTTTGAGAAGGTTAAACTCATGGAGCTACACTTGGTTGTATTTGATGATTACATCTTTTTGAATTCCTTCCTGTTGCAGCTAATTCTAGGAGTTACACACCCAACATATCAGGCAACACATGCCTTCATCTGGAGGGCATCAGGTTGGAAAAAGCTTCAAATTAAGCTTTCAATAAGCTAAACTTTGCTGGGTGTTCCTGTCCACTTCCTGTAAAATTATTATTCTGAGCTTCTTATAAATTATCTTTGGGAAAGATCAGCCTAGTTACTATATTAATGCTGTCCTTCCTTTCTCCTGGCTTGTTTAATGATCAGAATGGCTTGTAATTTAGAGACCAAGCTTTTATAATTATACATTTCTAAAGAGGCATTCCCATTAGGCAAATTAAAGTTGCTAATTAAAACATGTTCTGCTCTGCAAAGGACTGGCACCATGAATTTTTGGAAACTGTTGAGCAACTTAGCAATGTGGCTAAATTTGGTGGAATTCCCCAGATCGAGAGCAGCGGCACAGATGGTCAAGGCATCTGGCATTTGACATCTCTACTGTTATGAGTAGGGAAATGTCTCATCTTAACCACAGGTGAGATATGAGGGAGTAGTTTGTAGAAGAAATTCTCAGAACCAGAGTGATTTGTCAGATTGAGGGAAAGTACGGTACTGCTAGCTGACCAAGCACTCAGAAATGGTAACAGGAAATATCCATGCTAGGCATAGTCTACATCAGGAAATTTGGGTGTTGAACTTAAAAGGGACAATTTGTTGGTATGGAGGGACTATGAAGTTGGACAGTCAAGGTAAAGAGGTTTTAAATATGGTATTTATCCCCTTGGTCAAATGTTTCTGAAGACCATCTGTTCTGTCATAGATGCACCATGTAGCCTCAGATAAGGAATTACTGCTTTATCTATTAAGAAGGGGGAAAGGTGGCCAGCCACATGTGGTTCTAAGAACAGTTCTAGAATCCTCCTTCATTGACTTTCCTGGCAGCTGGGAATTCTCTTTGAAAATCACATTGGCTAGGGAATTCTGGTAGTTTTAAAGTTGCCAAGGTTGCAAAGCATTGATCTAGAAGGTTACAGGTCCACCACTTTTCCATTACAACATGTAATTTTTATTTAGTCAAATCTAATTCAATTCCTAGATACTGAGGCTCTTTCCATGTAATAGGTCAAAGGAGTTTCTGATTGAGTCTAGAGCACAAACTTGTTGCTTACTTTAAGAAATAATGTCTAGGAGCCACCATAGTATGAAATGGCCTACCCCAGGAGTAGGCAACCCAAAACACTCAAAGAGCCACTTGGACCCGTTTCCCACCGAAAACAAA